CGGAGAAGAAATTCTTGGGATGGTTGAGAGCGCTGGGACGTGCGTGAAACGTGAACTCAGACACTGTCTCCGATCAGGAATGAGCCTTCAGGGAAGTTCCTTAACCTCACTGTTCTTCAAATTTTTAAGCCATGGGGACATGTCTTCATTTTAAGTGTGGGGTAAGGGATACTTCATTGTATGTTTGTAATTGTATCAATTGACTGTTTGATTTTGCTTGTTTTGTCTTGCTTTGATTGTTTTGATGTAGAGTAATAGTTCATTAGGAAATCTAAAATAGTAAATGACTTGTCCTGATGACGGATCTCTTTCGGCGGGGTTCTTGAGGGACTAAGTCGAAGAAAAAAAAATTGGAATATGGAGACTCTTCCTGATGACGGATCCTTTAGACAATTTTCTTGAGGGAAGTTAGTCTAGAGAAAAGACCAAAAAGTTTTTTATTTTTTTATTTTATTTTTAGGTAGTGTAGTAACTCCCCCTTGGTTTTTCTTTGGGCCACGGTTCTTTTCCAAGGGTTTAGCTTGAACCGGGTATAAGTAGTTTTTGTTTAATTTTGTTCTTTTTAGTTTTTAAATTAGGACTAATGGGCTACGAGCTAAATTCGAAGGAAAACCCTTAGCATTGATACACCTGAGCACAATAGACACTAGAGTATAACGCCTAGCTTCATTGATTGAATCCTGTTAGAGTGCCTTAAAATTGTACGTTTGTATCTAACTTGAACTACTCTCTTGTGTGATGTGAGGGCATGTGATTCACAAAGGAAAGGTAAGTCTTGAATATTGTATAGAGTAGTTTGAGTAAGTGCAAATGTTGCATGGTACAAAAGGTTTGACTCTTGAGGTAAAGGTTGTTCACTACTAGGTGAAACTTTTGTAAAATGTTCACGGTGTTAGTCGTTAAGGGAAAAGCTTAGGGAAGGAATTTTGATGGAGTGTGGTGAATTGCTCGAGGACTAGCAATAATTTAAGTGTGGGGTGTTGATAGTAGGCTATATAGTTGATATTTACACCTTAATATGACCATACTTTGTTGTTGTTTTATAGATAAATTGCCAACAAAATGCTCTGATTAGTGTTCTTTTGTTTCGCAGGGAATATTATATGAGAGGAAGCAACATGGAGTGTTTTGGAGGCGATAATGTGAAGAAAACGCCCACTCGAGAAGTACCCGAGCACTAAGAAGCAGAAAGTGGCCTGGGCAAGAAGTCCACCGCAACCGCGGTGAACCGCATAGATTAAAATCGTGAGGCAGAAAGGTCAGCTCTCACCGCGGTCGACCGTGGTTGGCCGCGACCGCGGTGCACTGTTCACGCTGCTGGAAGTTTGAGGACCAAAGTATAATTTCGGGGAAACTTTTGTAAAACCTTATAAGCTTTAGAAACTCGCCCAAGATTGTTCCAAGTTTTTTTAAAAACTATTTTTGGAGGCAAGAACAAGTGTGAGAAGATCAACCAAACATTAGAGTTTTTCTATCTCCTTTTAATTCTTGCAATTTTACATTATGAACAATTTAGTAGTTTCCTCTTATTTTGTTATGAGTATCTAAACACTTATCTAGGGTTGATGTAACCAATTGTTGGTTGAAGTTTTGACTCAAGTTGTTATAATCGAGTCGGATTTATGATATGATTGTTCAACTACGTTTTGTGTGGTGATTAATTGAACGAGCCCTTGATTAATCGTATCTAATTACCTTATATTGCTTGAGAAATAGTATTAGGTTAGACAGCTGTTGAACACCACCACTTTTGGGTAATAAAAGAGATTCATTACTTGAACTTAAAAGTGAGTTTAGAGATAACGGAACTTTGGTGGGGTAATTTAGAGTTGCACACATATTGTCAGCTAGAGTAGTTCGAGAGAATGCTCTAGTAAATTATTGTAGTTGATCGAGAGATAATTACGATAACCCATAACTCTTAATCCTCATAGAGTATTACGGCAAGATTATAGCGGAAGAGTCAAGACCTAAACTAGCAATTGGGGAAATCACTGTCCTAGACCTTTTTACCATTGAATTATCTTTGTTTTAGCTTACTGTTGTTTTTCATATTATTTGAAGTAGTTAAACAAAAACCCAATCTTAATTGAGCAAAAATCTTGCATCTAGAGATTGATTGAGTTGATAATAACATTGCCGAAGAGTGTAATAGATAGGTTAGTTCCCTGAGGATTCGATTCCGGACTTAAAACCGGATTATATTTGCAGCGACCGCTTTGTCCTTTAGAAGGCATAGTTGGGCGTTATCAACGTCCAAAGCACCATCTAAACGACTCCGAAAGCCCAAAAAATGACGTACATCATGAGCGAAACTGATGAGTATTGCTCATTGGGCCGTTTCGCATGGACCTGCCAAGTTTCAGATCAATTGGAGTCCGTCAACATGTTGACCTCCGATTTTCTGGCCAATTCGGCCAAACAGTGACTTTTGCATTTTTCACGGAATAATGTAATTTTCAGATTATTCTAATCAAATATCATTAACTATAAGTAGATATTACATGATTTTCAGAATAATCATAATACTTAGAACAAATATACATATTAAAAACAATGCAGTTTTACAGAATTCAAAACCAATCGTTGCATGTAATTAAAAACTTGCATATTAATATGATACTAATTTTATTGTTCATCCTAATCATTTAATTAGACGTGAGTAGACTCTGATACCAATTGTTGGATTATATATCGCAGCGGAAGCAATCACAGTGTCTTATTCACGTGTGAATTAAACAATTAGCACACACGGAGATTATACGAGTTACCTCTTGAAGCGTGAACAAAGCAAATCGATATCCTTCTCCAGTTCCAGAATTGCAAGACCTCAGCAACCTTCCACAGTCTTCTACTGTGTTACCCAAATAAAGCCGAAAATAGAGAACTTGGGGTGAGCGAAATTCAAGGAAGAAAAACGTGTTGTTTTTCAGTGTAAAAAACGGCCATCTAGTATATATAACTACGTTTTTAGGTTAAAACCCTTTTCCAAAACCTGTTAAATTTTCTTCTTCCACTAAGGAAATGTTTCCTTTATTTCCTATTATTTAGGCACAGTAAGGACCGCAAAATTTAATTAACAAGACTTCCTATTATGGAATTAATTTCGAAATTTTGAAATTAATTTCTACCATAATAAATTACGAATTATTCCACTAAAAATTCGTAATTGCACTCCTTAGTTCAATTTCGAAATTCTTCCATAAAACCTTATTTAACTCCCCATGTTAAGATTCAGATACTAATCAATCAAATTAAATTACTGACTATTTAATTTATTGATTACTTCCTTTAGACTTACACTTANAGATTCAGATACTAACCAATCAAATTAAATTACTAATAATTTAATTTATTGGTTACTTCCTTTAGACTTTCACTTAACTTATTTCATGTGTCGGATACAAAATTTACCAGCCGGGTTTACACATGAAAACTTATAAGCTTTCGTAAAGGAGTATCATCAATCTCAAAAAATCGAGACATGGATTCTATCAACTAATTATTACTTCGCCAATGTATATCATTATTGTCCAACTTACCAGGCTTACTGACTCATGAAAGAATCTTGTCTTTTAATAAATCAAAATAATAAATGATATACACAACTAATAATAATTAGAAAGAATTACAAGAAAATACACTTGGCTTCACACAATAACAAAAAAATGGTCCATATTTTTAAGTTTTACCCGACCTAGCCCATATTGTACATATTTTGAAAGCTCTAGCAAATTCAAAATCTGTTTTCTTACAACCATTACTTCTAAAAGCTGTGGAGTTAAATCTATGTTCTCACAAATATCGCTTTTACTCTCTTTTCTTCTTACATCTTCTACATATGCTTCAAGGGGTCGTCCCCCATTACTGCTTCTCCCCTGTATCACCTGGTTGCAATGTAAGAAAATTGAAAATTCAACATTCCACCATTGAAGGCCATTCAAAGCTTGGCTTTCAAAAATAATTTTTTTTGAGTTTGTTAGTTGTTTGGATTGGGTGTTGTTCCAATTGATTGAAAATATCAAAAGGAGTTCAAAATTTAAATTCGAAGTGATTTGGAGTAGATTTGAGCAAGATTTGAGTTAAGTTTCAGAAAAAACGCAAGGAAGAAGACGAAGTCAGTTTTTTATAATTATGTATAATATTGTATAATAGTGTATATGAGTGTATAAACACATCTTATACACTTTTATACGCCTTTATACAAGCGCCTGTAGACGAACTTCTTCCACGATTTTCAGTTGCAATTCTTGTTCAAAATCAGTCCAAAACTCCATTAAATGACTTCAAATTTTATATACAACCTCCTTATACTATTTATAACAATCTAGATAATACCTACTCCAAATTTCTCACAAAATCAAATTCGGAATCTAAACCCACATATTTAAGCTTATTAAAAATCTAATTTTCACCATCCAAATGGATTTGGTTTGTTGAACTAATATTTGGGTTACAGTTACTGATTCAAAAATTAACTTAAAAGCTTGAGGAATCTTTTTTAAAAATTAAATAGTAGTAATTTTGAGAACATATTGGAGTTGGATGTTGAATCTTAGCCTATTATTTTCGAGATAGTTGATTGTAAATTGAAATATGGGTTATAAAATTGAAAAGTAAGGATCCCAGTTGTTCTTATGTGAAATTTTCCCTAATAATTATATCAAGATTAAGAGTATAAGTACATTAAATGGACTAGAGAAATTATTTTATTAAGTTAGTATAAAATACCTATCTCTACTTGATCCGTTCAATACATACAAAATGCACTAGCACAAGAAGTTGGAATTAAACCATTCCCATAATCAAGATAAATTATATTTAATCTTGTGCTACAACCATTCCGATGGCTTCTCCAATTCCATCATTGGATTGTAAACATAAACTTTATGACTAATAATAACCGATAATTTAATCTTCCGTATATAAGCTAAATTCTATATACTAAATTATTTACTATATAAGCAACGGTTTACAACATATGCTAACAAAATATACGTGCTATTATAACATGGGTTGTTAAAAGTGTGGTCAGGGCAAGGGGAAATCCGTAGGTCGCTCTTGCAGAATGCGAGCTGGTTCTTCACTTATCTCAACAACTGCGCCAAATAACATCAAATAAACGGCCATGGCAGTTCCAACCATAACCTCTCTATCAAAACTGGCCCCTTTTCACCAACCAACACGAACCCAATTCAGCTCACAAACGGCTGCTTCCAAATTTCTCCTCTCTGCAAAGCAAAGATCACTATTTCCAGCACCCACCAACAGCATTTCATCTCAGAACTTGAAAAATGCAGCCACTATTTTGGGGGTCACTGGAGTTACTTTAGCCACACTAATGGTGGGACCTGACACTGCATCTGCTTCTGAAATAGCTGCTATAGCGGGTTCTTCTTTCCAATTCAACGAACCCACTAATGCTCTCTCCTTACCCACCTGGGCTATTCATGTTTCCAGCGTTGTTGAATGGTATTTACTCTGCAATACACAGTATTTTTTAATCCTTTTTTTCTTCAATTTATTTAGCATAAGCTATAAATAAAGACTTTTGACATATGAGTTAAGTTACTAAGTTAGGTAAAAATTTACCAACACACAATGTTTACACGATGTTTATCATGGTTAAAGTAAGAATATATATTAGTTAACTATGATTTAGTATATATATTAGTTAACTATGGTTTACTGATAAGAGGGTAAGCAAAAACATGTCTATATAGTGTACACATTAGTGGAGGTAAGTTTTTACCAGTTAAAAATATATAAAATATTGAAAAAAGTACCTTTGCACTAAGCAATTTGTTAACGTTATAACGACAATAACAAAGGCAGTGCTAGTTGATAAGAACAACAATCAAAACATATAAAGGAGGTACAAATTTAACATGGTTCGGTCAAGGTGACCTGCGTCCAGAAGCGAAGAAGAACAATTTTACTATACCAACAAGAGTACAAAAGAGAGTACATAATTAGAGTAAATACTCTAACTAATCCCAAATACCGCAAGAGTATAGCCTCACAAGATCCCTCCGAAGAAAGGGTTCACACAGGTGTTACCGAATACTCACTCTCTTATACTCTAAAATAAATAAGGAGAAAGAAAGACAAGAGAATAAAAGGCTCTTGACTTGGTGTGTTTTGAAAAGGAAGAATTGATCACCTTTTATAGGAGAAAAGAGTGTTGGATCCAAGTTTGCTACGTGAGGAGATATTATTCCCTCCAATCAAATTCTTTATTTGGCTCCAAGAATATAAAATAGGCATATGCCTATACAAACAAAATGGACCCCACAAAGATAGCCAAAAGATATGGCCACATTACAATCTCCACATTGCTTTGTTTTGGCTTATAAAGTAGATTTGCTCCACCGTCTCTACGAAAGCCCTTGTGGACTGGATCATTCTTCATAAATGCCAATCAAATTCAAGCAAAACTTGAATTTGCCAACTGGAAAAGGCTTTGTGAACATGTGATTGTCTCTAGTGTTGATCTTGTAAACAGAGACCTTTCCATCAGCAATGGTTTCTCGGATGAAGTGATACTTTATCATTCTGCTTCGTCCTCTCTTGATACATCAGATCTTTAGTCAAGTGAATGACACTTTGCCTATTACAGAAAATGGTAATACTACCTTGGTGTAAACTGAGTTCAGCAAATACTCTTTAACTAAAAGACTTCTTTGATCGCATCGGTCACTGCCATATATTCTACTTCTGTAGTTGATAAAGCTACTATATGTTGTAATGTAGCTTTCCAACTGATAGTGCAACCACCAATGCAAAATACGTAGCATGTCGGTAATCTTCTTTTATCAAGATCACCTGCATAATTTGAGTCTACAAAACCAACTAAAATGTTAGTATTTCTCCCAAACTCCAAACATGTATTTGAAGTACCTTGCAAGTATCTGGGAATCCATTTCACAGTATGCCAATGTGTTTTATCATGTCAAGTCATACCGGCTTACCACTCGCTACTTGTGAAATATCTAGACGTGTATGCATTATTGCATACATAAGCTCTTCTTCCTTTGACTGTGATGACTGAGCATTGATAAAAGGGGTACTCACTGGTTTAGCATCTTTCATGCGAAACCTCTCCAAAACCTTCTCCAAGTACTTCCTCTGGGTTAGGAATAGCCTGTTGGCTCCTCGTTTTCTTTTGATCTTCATGACAAGGATTTTCTTAGCTGCTCTCAAATCTTTCATCTCAAATTCACTTTTCAGTTGTGGCAAAGGGTGGTGGATTTGTGTCTTAGGTCACAGGTTCAAGCCCCCACACCATGCAAAGCAAAGCCTGATATTTAAGTGGAGAAAGGTAGAGGGGCGGGCCCATTACGGATTTTTCGGTCATAAAAAAAAAATTCATTTTTCAGCTGGCCTTTCATATTATGAATTTCTACCAAATTCTTAGCAACAATGAGCATGTCATTAACATATAACAATCCGTACCCAAATAAACTATCAACTAACTTCTGGAAGTAAACACAACTATCATACATGGTCCTCGAATAATCATGCCCCGACATAAACGAATCAAACCTCTTGTACCATTGTCTTAGAGACTGTTTTAATTCGTACAAGAATTTTTTCAACAAGCAAATATGATCTTCTTTTCATTCAGTTTTAAATCTTTCAGGTTGATGCATATATATTTGTTTCTCAAGTTTGCCATGTAAGAAAGCTATCTTAACATCAAGTTGTTTTAATTCCACATCATGCATGCAACTAAGGCAAGCAAGACACAAATAAAACTATGTTTAACATGTGAGAAAACATCATTAAAATCAACTCCTTGTACCTGACCGTAGCTCTTTGCAACTAATCATGCCTTTTACCTTGCATCTTCAACCCCTAGAATGCCTTCCTCTTTCTTGAAGAGCTTTGGTATCAAAGTCGAATCTAACATGATTAATTTCAATGACCAATATGACTCTAACAAAGACTTATGTTTGAGAAATTTGATCGAAGTGCAAACTTCGGAATATGGCAATGAAGATAGAAGTTATCCTAATTCAGAATGGCCTAGATTTGACACTATAAGAAATGGAGGAAACCCCGGATAAAATGATGGCTGAGGAGTTTGCCGTCATAGACAAAAATGCAAAATTAGGTATTATCTTAAATCTTTTAAATGAGGTTTTACATGAAATTTTTGTAGAAACCATAGCCAAAGACATGTGGGATAAATTAAAAACCCTGTATATAAAAGGACAGTGGAAAACAGACTTGTGCAAAAGCTTTACGCTTTTCGTATGGTTGAAGGTATCTTTATACTCTCACATCTTGATATATTTGACTCCTTTCTTATGGATTTGAGTAATATAGATGCTGGAATCAAAGATGAAGATCAAGCCGTATAATTGCTTGTTTCCTTACCCCAGTCATTTAAACATATAAGAGATACTATACTTTATAGAAAGAATAATATTTCTTATAAAGATATCAAATCTATCTTGAAATCAATGAACAGATAGATAGAGATATTACTGGAAAAACCAGTAAGAACCAAGGTGAAAGCTTATTTGTGAGGAGGAGATCCTATAAAAAGGATTCAAATAGATCAAAGTCCAGATACAGAAATGTCGTGTGCAAATATTGTCATAAAAAAGACCAGACTATCTCTGATGTTTTAAGTTGAAAAACAAAGAAAAACATATGGAAAAGAAAAATGAGCACAAAGATACTGACATCGCCGAAGTAAGTGTAGCTGCTGATGAGACAGAGGGAACTATAATTTTAGCAACTAATAATAATTTTAAATCTAAATGAGTGAATTTTGGATTCGGGTTGTTCTTATCATATGTGTCCCAATTGGGATACCACATATGAATCTGTTGAAGGTGGAGTTGTGTTGATAATGTTGCCTATAACGTTATTGGTAAAGGTACAGTTCGAATCAGAATGCTTGATGGTTTGGTGAGAACTCTCACCGATGTTAGATATGTTCCTGACTTGAAGAAAAATCTCATTTTTTCGGGCACTCTAGAATCTCTTGGATGAAAATACATATGTGTGTGGAATTTAAAAAGTTTTTCGAGGTGCTCTTGTGGTCATGAAAGCACGCAGATCTGGTACGTTATATACTTTGTAGGGATCCACTGTTACATGTGTTGCTTCAGTTTCAACATAAGATAAGTCTGATTCTTACATCACCAAATTGTGGCATATGCGATTGGGGCATATGAGTGAAAAAGGTCTTTCCATCCTCAGCAAATGAGGTCTCTTGTGTGGCCAAAGTACTAGAAATATTGAGTTCTGTGAACACTCTATGTCCGGAAAGGAAAAAAAAGAGTCAACTTCAAAACTCAGCAATTCACAGAACAAAAGTTACTTTGGATTACATTCTTTCAGATCTCTGGGGTCCTTCACGTACCCCATCAAAAGGTGGTGCCAGGTATATGTTAACTTTCATTGAGATTATTCAAGGAAAGTTTCGGTTTATTTCCTGAAAAATAAAAGTGATGTTTTCTTAACTTTCAAACGATGGAAAGTTTTGATTGAGAAGCAAACATGAAAAAATGTTAAGCGATTTAGAAGAGATAATAACTTGGAATTTTGTAATGATGAATCAAACAAATTCTACAAGAATGAAAGAATTGTTCGACAACGCACTGTGAGGATAACCCCTCGGTAAAATGGTGTAGCAGAATAGATGAATAGAACTCTTTAGGAACGAGCTCATTGCATGATATCACTGGGTTGACAAATGCCTTTTGGGCATATGCTATTTCTGCAGTTTGTTATATTGTCAATCGCGCGCCTTCTGCACCTTTGAATTTTAAGACTCAAGAGGAAACTTTGTCAGATACTCCTGCTAATCATTCCGATATAAAGATATTTGGTTGTTCTGCATACACGCATGTAAATGATAGAAAATTAGAGCTAAAGGCTAAAAAGTGTATTTTTCTTGGGTCATGCATCTAGGGTGAAAGGATACAAACTATAGTGTCCTGATCCCATGGCACCAAAGTTTGTAATTGGCAGAGACCTAACTTTTGATGAATCATCTATGTCATTTTAGAAAAAGTCTTCTAGTTCATGTAATATAGGTAAAGGGAAGAGCACACAGAAGCAGGTGGATGTTGATATTGACATTCGTTTTGAGCCAAACGCATTAACTTTCGAGCAAAATACAGTTGAAACTCCTGAAGTGTAGACTCTTGAAGTCGAACTAGAAGAGACTCTTGTGCTCATTTTTTTTCGTATGCTTTTCAACTTGAAGCATTCAGAGATAATGTGACCTTTCTTATGACAATATTTGCACACAACATTTTTGTATCTGGACTTTGACCTTGATTTAGACCTCTCACTATTTGATAGGATCTCCCTCTTACGAATAAGTTTTCACCTTCGTTCCCACTAGTTTCTCCTGTAACATCTCTATCTATCTGTTTATTTTTTTAATTTAAGATAGATTTGATATTTTTATAAGAAATATTATCCTTTCCATAAAGTATAGTATCTCTTATATGTTTAAATTACTGGGGTAAGGAAACAAGCAATAACACGACTTGATCTTCATATTTGATTTCAGCATCTATATTACTCAAACCCATAAGAAGGAAATCAAATATATCAAGATGTGAAAGTATAGGGGTACATTCAGCCATACGAAAAATGTAAAGCTTTTGCTTCAGGTAAAGTCTTTCCATTGTCCTTTTCATATACATGATTTTTAATTTATCCCACAGCCAAAATGCCTTTGGCTGTGGTTCCTGTAGAAACTTCACGTAAAACCTCATTTGAGAGATTTAAGATAATACCTAATTTTGTTTTTTTGTCTATGATGGCAAACTCCCCGTTTGTTATTTTATCCGGCTTCTTCTCCTTTCCTTGTAATACCAAATGCAAGCCATCTTGAATTAGGATAGTTTCCATCTTTAATTGTCACATTCCGAAGTTTGTATTTCAGTCAAATTTCTCAACATAAGTCTTTGTTAGAGTCATATTGGCTATTGAAATCGATCCGGTTAGATCCGACTCTGATTTCAATGGTCTTCTAGAAAGAGGAAGACATTCTAGGGGTTGAAAATGTAAAGTATAAGGAAACATTAGTTGCAAAGGACTATAGGTAGGTATAAGGAGTTGATTTTAATGATATTTTCTCACATGTTGTTAAATATAGTTCTACTCTTGTTTTGCGTGCCTTAGTTGCCTTGTAAGATTTGGAATAAGAGCAACTTGATGTTAAGACAATTTTCTTACATGGAAAACTTGAGGAACAAATATACATGCATCAACCCGAAGGATTTGAAATTGAAGGAAAAGAAGATTATATTTGCTTGTTGGAAAAAATCCTTGTACGGATTAAAACAGTCTCCAAGACAATGGTACAAGAGGTTTGATTCTTTTATGTTGGTTCATGGTTATTCGATGAGCATGTATACTAGTTCTATTTACTTTCGGAAGTTAAATGATGGTTCATTTTTGTACTTATTATTATATGTTGATGACATGCTGATTGCTGCTAAGCATTTGACAGAAATTCACAATTTAAAAGGTCCGCTGAAAAGTGAATTTGAGATGAAAGATTTGGAGCAGCTAAAAAAATCCTTGGCATGGAGATCAAAAGAGATAGAGGAGCCAACGAGCTATTCCTGACCCAAAAGTACTTGAAGAAGTTTGGCATGAAAAATGCTAAATCGGTGATTACCCCTCTTGCTGCTCATTTTAAGTTATCAGCTTTCAATTACTACAGTCAGAGTAAGAAGAGACGTATATGACATAGGTATTATATTCTAGTGCAGTCAACAATATTATGTATACAATGGTGCGTACACGTCCAGATAGTTCACAAGTAGTGAGTGTAGTAAGTCGGTATATGGCTTGCCCTGGTAAAACACATTGGCAGGCTGTGAAATGGATTCTCAGATACTTGCAAGGTATTTCAAACACATGTTGGGAGTTTGGGAGAAATACTAACACTTTGGTTAGTTTTGTAGATTTAGATTATGCATGTGATCTTGACAAAAAATATCACTGATAGGCTACGTATTTTGTATTGGTGGTTGCATTATTAATTGAGAAGCCTAGATGCCCCGGTTAGGAGGTGTGAGCGGTTGGCTCTGACGGGTATGAGGAGAGGTAGAGGGTGGCCAAAGAATTATTCGGGAGAGGTACTCAGACAGGATATGACGTGACTCCAGCTCACCGAGGATATGACCCTTGATAGAGAGGTATGGAGGGAGAGCATTAGGGTTGTAGGTTAGTAGGTAGTGAGCGTTTTTCTGCTCCGTTCTGCGTGAAAGTCTAGTCGGTCAGTGTCATGTTTTAGTATGCTAGTGGTACATGTTGTGCTCGTACTATTTTCTAGGACCTTGTCACTGTACTGATTATTGATATTGCTTTTCCAGGTATATTTTCTGATTCTTAGATCCTTGGTACTATCTTCCTGGTTATGTTGTTATTATTCTATTGTCGCTTTTCATCTTCTTGTGCCGAGGGTCTAAGCCTCTCTACCCTAGGGTAGGGTTAAGGTCTTGCGTACATACTATCCTCCCCAGACCCCACTTGTGGGATTATACTGGGTTGTTGTTGTTGTTGTTGTTGTTGGCTGCGTTATCAATTGGAAAGCTACATTATAATATGTAGTAGCTTTATCAATAGCGGTAACCGAGACGATCAAAGAAGCCTTATGGTTGAAGGGTCTATTTGCTTTACTCAGTTTACATCAAGGAGGTATTACCATTTTTTGTGATAGCCAAAGTACCATTCAATTGACTAAAGATTAGATGTATCATGAGAACACAAAGCATATTTATATCAAGTATCACTTCATCCGAGAAACCATTTCTAATGGAAAGGTCTCTGTTAAGAAGATCTAACATGTTCACAAAGCCTCTTCCAGTTAGCAAGTGAACTTGATTGGCACTTATAAAGAATGATTTAGCCCACAAGAGCTTTTGCGGAGAGGGTGGAACAAATCTACTTGATCAGCTAAAACAAGACCAAGGTGGGGATTTGTAATGTGGCCATATTTTTTTGGCTATCTTGTGGGGTCCATTTTATTTGTATAAACATATGCCTATTTTACAATATTGGAGTCAAAGAAAGAATTTGATTGGAGGAGAATAATATCTTCTGTTGTAACAAACTTGGAGCCACCGTTCTTTTCTCCTATAAAAGGAGATCAGATCTTCCTTTTCAGAACACACCAATTCAAGAGCCTTTTATTCTCGTCTTTCTTTCTCCTCATTTATTGTATAGTATTTTGTAAGCTAGTGAGTGTTGAGAATTTTTTTTTTGTGAACCCTTTCTTTGGAGTGATCTTGTGAGGTTATGCTCTTGGGGTATTTGGGATTAGTTAAAGTAGTTACTCTCTTTTGTACTCTTGTTGGTATCGTGAAATTGCTCCTCTCCGCTTGTGGATGTAGGTCACCTTGACCGAACCACGTTAAATTTGTACTTCCTTTATATGTATTATTTGCCGTTATTATCAACTAGCATTGTCTTTGTTATTGTCATTATAACGTTTTAAATTCCGCACTATCCTAATGCCCGACCCTAACACAGTTTGTTTTATATCTATTGTGCTCACATCAAGGTCTCTAGATGTGGAAAGATTGCAACTTTTATATCTAATTTGGGACGAGAGAGTCTGTTTTTGTGCTGAATGAAATGACCGCTAATACTTTGTTTAAAAGGGTTACTGCGATGGCTCTGGTTTGGCAATACGGGGAGAAGTCTGGGAATGCTTCTTGGAAGGGACTCTCTTGGGGCATGGTGAGTACTGTTTATTTTTAGAGTTTGTGAAACTTGGTTCAGATTGATTCATAATATGCATAAAGTCTTGATTTTGGTTAACTTTTGTGCTTTAAGTTTCCGGCTCTGGAATGTTGTGTTTAACCATTAATTGGCCAATGAGGCGCGCCTCAAACACTTAGGCCAAAGTGTTGTAACCAAAAGAGTCACAGGTTCAACTCTCGCCAGCGACATGTCTGGCTCTTTTCTAATGTATGTTACTTATTTCACCCACTATGTGTGTTATCGTTTGAAATTTGATTTATTTAAGAGACTATTTGTGGGTCATTGTTACAATTGTCAATAGTGTACATGTATTCATGTGTTTTTTCTCAATATAGATAAGACTATAATTTGTAAAGACATAAGAGAGGGTGGGTGTTTAAACTATCCTGATTGTTATATTAAGACCATCTCAACCTGTGGCTCATTAGACTAGAGGCCTTGTACGTTTTCATGTGATCACTATAGAATGAGTTGAAAAAGAAGTATCAAATACATGCACCGCAGGAGAGTGTAACTCTTGTAAAAGTCAGCCTCTCAATTGGAGAATGTGGGGGCAGGGAGAGAATCCTTTTTTATTTATTTAAAATATCGCCTCTCACGCGTCTGGAATAAGTGTGGTACACTCACAGTGCCATATGTCAGCAACGCGTGTCTAATAGGCATACTTTGAGCATGGATCAGGTGTTCAGTTGGTCGTAGCCTTAGTTTAGATGTCTATATGAAATTTTTTGACAACTTTGAGTGGCCGCTTTTGTATTATGCCTTAGCCATTTGTATTTTAAGCTGTTGCTTTGCACCAAAAGCACTGCATACTCCAGATTCCCGCAATCGATAAAGTAACTACATATCTATCTCGGCATTGTGCAGGTTTAACATGACATTTGTCAAGTAGGAACAATTTCTTATGAACCAGATAACTGTTCAGTCAATTTCTTTAATCTGGATTAGCCTCTTTCATCGTACTTTTTTTCCCAAGGATTTTTGAAACTTTCTTTGAAATTGATATTGTTGAAATTAACTGAAGTTAATAAAATTTTCAAGCATAGGAAGTTTTTGTTCAAGCACTAGCCAGCTGCAGCTTTGCTGCTACCATTACAAATAATTCTCCCTCTGGATGGTTATGCAGGACATGATGAGATTACAGGAACCTGAGACTGTGTCTTGATGCTTGTTAGTTCCTTCAGTAAACATTTGGATTTTCTCCATAAAGTAAGTAGGAGTGTTGCACTGTAGATCAACAACAACAACAAACCCATTGTAATCCCACAAGTTGGGTCTGGGGAGGGTAGTGTGCACGCATACCTTACCCCTACATTTAAGAAGTTAGAGAGGCTGTCTCCGGCAGACCCTCGGCTCAGGAAAGATAAAAGGAAGGAACAACAACAAGCAAACCAATCGGAAAACCAAAGCAAAAATACAAAACTAACACTCGGTAAGGCACAATTGTTTAAGGAGGTGTAGACCAAACTGTAGACCAATTGTAAAAAAATGAAATTCTGACAGTTGTTTAAGGAGGTATTGGTGAGGTAGTTTGCAATCTATATGTGTATGTCATGAAAAAAGTGTCAATTAGGTAACTCTTGAAACTGACTTCCCATGTTTGTATGTAATTAATTTAAAATTTGAATAAAAGAAGAAAAATATACCTATAGAGCAATTTGATTCACTAAAGTGATGGATGACTTATTTAAATTCCCAAAGTACACTGTCTGATGGGAATTGATAATTACTGCTGATCCTGCCGACGCTGCCAACAGCTCTATGTTTGTATTGTAAACTTAAGAGGAATTAAAATGGGTTCTAAACACAATACATCTTATATCCCCTTTGTCACAGAGGTAAACATGTTGATTAAGAGTTTCAGCCTTTAGATTAGGTGGTCACACGATTTTCGAGTCTTTGTTAAAAGGTTACCACATGCTATGGTATTGGTTTCTCTTCTTTTTTCCAGCGTTTTCCGCCAAATGTATATTGTCTTTTCCCTCTTGTTGGCTCTTTAGCAGCTTATGAGTACAACTCTCTGGTGTAGGTGCCCCTGCTAGGTGGAGCGTTTTGTGCCTGCACTTGGCATTTCTTTTACAACTCAGAGTCCCTTGAGGTAAGTGTATCAATTTACTTATTTACTTATTAACAGGAAATTTCTACCATATACAAAGTCTTACTAGGAAAAAAACGTATAGTGGTTCAAGAGATAGTTGGCTTTTCCTGAAGGGGTGGGGGTGGGGGAGTGAGGTGATTGTTTGTATGATCACACTGATAAATTACTGCAATTTAATAACCTTATAACTGCTTTGCTAGCTTCCATTTCTATTTGCTTGCCATGACCTTTATACAACTGGGAGTTTGGGGAGGGGGTGGGTGGGTTCGTTCCTGTCCTTTTGTCATTACATTCTTTAAAGTGAACCTGAATTTAGATTATTGGTTATACACACCATTGACAATTGATATAGTAATAGTTGTGATAAACTTGTAAGTGTACCAGCAACTAATCTGGATATAAATGCTTGAACCCAATAAGAAAAAAACAAAGAGACACTATAACAACAACTTCGCCTCAGTCCAAACAAGTTGGGATTGACTGTATAAATACTCATTGACCATGTTTTTCCATCTAAGCTCAATTTATGTCATCATCATACCAAATAAACATAAAAGTGAAAAATAAGTTTTATATAATAATAATAATAATAATAATAATAATAATAATAATAATAATAATAATAATAATAAAAGTTCTTTATACTTTTACCGGAAAAAATACTCCCTAGAAAAGTAATATGTTCAAAATCAACATACTAGCAAGACTAAAACCTATTCCAAACTAGTAGATATCGTATGAATCTTTTTTCTTCCATTGTCCCTATCTTTTGCTAAGTCTGCATTGATTCCAAGAAATTGTAGGTCTTTTGAGACGACTTTCTTCCATGTGATTTTAGGTCTACCTCAACCTCTTTTAGTACCTTTACTCACCAAAGTTTCAAAAAAGTGGAAAGTACTATTTAATGCTTTAAAGAATTTTGTTGATTTCCCTTCCACTTTCACTCGTTTGCTGGAAATAGTAGAATATAATTCTTCTTTCAAGTATTCCTAATTTAACCGAAATTGATATATTTACAAGAACTGGTCAATTTAAATTTTAAACCATAAGGCAATGCGCATGCGTTTCGTCTCCAGTTCTATTCCAGCTTTTCCCATTTGAAGCATTGCTTGGTATTCTTAGACAATACTTATCTTGTTTTTTTCTTCTTTCTTTTGTGTGCTTTAAATGACACGCATTGGATGCATGAATTTCAGGTATTAGTGGCTCTACAAGCAGCTTTGACAGTTCTTGGTAATGCCACAATGTGCGTCGCTGCATTCCGTATATACAGATCACAGGAGCAATCAAAAGAATCATGAGCATCGAGTTTGGTGTACTTTCCCAACTTTCATCACTCATTCAGCTTCCTTATCTACATGGTACTTCATCCGATTTCTTGCAGTCTCTTTTTCATCTTCAAGTGGGACATAAACTTTAAGCTGATTGTTTTGGCAGAAGAAGATCCACCAGTGTGGATCGCGCTGTCCCTGTAAGATATAAATTAATTCTGTCTTTTTGGTGGCTGGTGAGTTTGTCAAGATAGTTTCTTGACTTTGGACTTTCCAGTTGCATTGTTGTACATTCTTTGAACAGCTCCTTTTAGACATCTAAAGATGGCCATTATTGACTTCCTAGGAACTGTTGTTGTCAAATGAATCATATCCGACATCTTCAACATGTTCATTGTTTGTGTACTGTATCCAATTACCTGCTTGACTAGTTTTCCGGAAAAAACCTATCTACCTTCACAAGGTAGGGGTAGGGACTGAATACATTCTACCCTCCCCAGACCCACTTTATGGGAATACACTGGGTATGCTTGACTAGTTTGGAAAATTGCTAGCTGCCTGCAGTTTGGCTGTATGAATACAACAACATAGTGATTGTCTTTGTTATTGGCCTCGGCCTTAGGGGCATCGCGTGACTATCAATCAATCAACTATACCTCAATCCGAAATTAGTAGGATTTGGTTGTACGAATCCTCTGTATCTATCCCATTTTGCATCGCACGCAAGACTGCAGAAATATAAAAGACAATCTGAAGCTAACCTTTGTAAATATTTGTCAAGATTAACTTTGAGGGTTT